CTCCTATTTAATGCGTCAAATAAATCATTCATTTTAATAGTAAATTTAACAGTTTCTTCTGAATCCTTAAAGCAGTCATATTTTTTTTGCTTATAAAAATTTATAGCTAAAGCCATTGATCTACTAAATATCTAAAATTATAATAATAAAATAAAATGTGTAKCATGAGACATGAATAAATGGTAAATCTTAAATCGTGCTCTACATCGTGATGGCATCACTCTAAATTATTTCGTATTGGTGTCMCTGCTGGATCTCTGGTATATCTTAAATCCTGGTCTGGACATTRGATCATATATATGTATATGATCTAAGAAGCAATGTTTATAAATTAATGTTATCACTTATCAAATATCAATGTATTACAGAACATAACAAACTACAAAGTCCAAGCACAGAACATGAATGTTGAATTATTGAATAAATATTATTATTTTTAATTATCTTATAATTCTTATTTTAGGGCCCAGACAAACATATAGTACATGGACTTGAAATTGTATGTGGAGGCCCAGCTAAAGGTATACTAACAAATGAAAAGAAACGTTTTTATTATTATTGCTGGTATTGCAGCAGACACAACAAACTTGGGCCATTGTTAATTATTGTTCGGTAAGCAATATAAATTACCAAACTTAAAATTGAAAGTTGGTTTTTATGTAGTAACTTAAATAAAAGACTGCTTTTAGGTTACACTAGTCACTATAAGTCTATAAAGTATACATAAAGTAGTATAAACTAATATAAACTATAAGGTAGTTAAGAGTGTTATTTTACTCATTTACTCCAATGTTACGAGGTTACGACCAATGACCAATTATAAAAGTTATTTTTAGTTTCTTCTATTATTAATATTGTTATCTACTAGTATTTTATTTTAATATTTGAACATAACCTAACAAAATCGCCAACTGCGAGACCGCGACCACTTGCGTTGTATCACAGAACAATGGTTGTATGCTTTAACATGGCCTATCCATTCTTCTATTATCTATGGATATCGCCTAATATACGATAGTGCGAGGATAACAAGTGATAAACTGATAAACCGAGTATTTTTGAGTAAATTATTTGAATTATTTAAGTTTTGAATGTTTTGATTGAGGACTGAGGAGGTTAGTGCATACTGAGCATAGACATCTTTACTTGTCTATGGGTTAGAGCCATTAGAGGTTTTAAATTTATCTTAACAAATTTTGTGGAGCATTGGCACATCACAACATAAACTATGGAAAATGCGTGGAAAACTGAAATTCCAGAGTTTAAGCCGGAAGACAATCCTCACGGGCTGTTAGAGGAAAGTTCGTTCGCCACACTATTTCCCAAGTATCGAGAAACATACCTGAAAGAATGTTGGCCATTAGTACAAAACTCATTGTCCAAATACCACATCAAGGCTGACTTGGACTTACTAGAAGGCAGTATGAGTGTGCGCACTACCCGCAAAACGTGGGACCCGGCATCGATATTGAAGGCACGAGACTTGATCAAACTGTTGTCAAGGAGTGTTCCGTACGAGCATGCTGTACGCGTAATGGAAGACGATATGGCTGCTGACATAATTAAGATCGGTTCAATGGTAAGAAATCGTGATAAATTTGTAAAACGGAGACAAAGACTTATCGGTCCAGGAGGGTGTACGCTGAAGTCAATTGAATTGTTGACTAACTGTTACGTTCTTGTGCAAGGGCAAACTGTGGCTGCTCTAGGACCCTTCAAAGGACTACAACAGGTATGCAAAAATTGTTTCAATTAACTATCAGGTTGTGTGTGGYATAATTTTTTTATTGTATGTTATTTCAGGTACGCCGTATTGTGACAGATACAATGAAAAATATTCATCCTATTTACAATATAAAAGCATTGATGATTAAACGTGAACTGGAGAGAAATCCTAAGTTAAAAAATGAAAATTGGGATAGGTTTCTGCCAAATTTCAAACCRAAAAATGTGCCTAAAAAGAAATCTAYCAAGAAAGCAAAGAAACCATACACTCCGTTCCCACCWGCYCCAGCAGAGAGTAAGATTGACAAATTATTAGAGTCAGGTGAGTACTTTCTTAAAGAAGATGAGAAACAAAAAAGGAAAAGGAAAGTCAAAGAAGATAAGCAAAAGGAAGCTAAAATTAAAAGAGAGGCAAAACGTAATATGGCATTCATTCCTCCTGTTGAATAAATATTGGAAAAAAAATGTAAATGTATATAGGTAAAAATCTAATGATTTTTAATTTTATTGATTTGATAATTTGAAAAATATAATATTAAAAATTGACTTCCTTGACTATTATTTCATGTTTTTTAACCTAGCCTAAGTCTAGTTAAATACTGAGCTACGCCACTAATTCTTCTCCAGATCTATAMATTTTAAAATAAATTGCAGGATGTCTTATGTTTGATAATATATACATACAGTCTTATATTAATACTAACAAATCTAAATGTTAACTGCTGAATCTAATATTGCAATTTTACACACTTATAAAATGGATACAACATATTTTGGTCCGATGTCGTCTAGTATAGAATAATATATATATATATATATATATATATAACTTAAAATAGAACGGTATTTAAACATAGCTTTGTTTTTGAAGTGCAAAAAGTGTTAGAATCATATTCGAACAATTTCTTAGATTCTCCTTAAATTGCTGTTACACATCACCAAAATTAAGTTATATACTTTTATTATAATAATTAAATTTTGATTTAATATTTTATTGATTAC